TTTTTTTTTTTTTTTTTTTTTTTTTGGTAGAAAGAGAAAGCGTGCATGTGTGTGCACACAAGCGAGTGGGGGAAGGGCAGAGGGACAGGCTCCATGCTGGGCATGATCTCCTTCTCCAAGGGCTCCACTCTGGGCTCGATCTCATGACCGTAAGACCATGAGATGAAATCAGAGTCACGAGGCTCCCACCTACTAGACACCCATACTGACTTCTTCATTTTTAAAGGAAAGTTGGCTTCAGGGAAACACTATCTTTTGAATGTGAATGGTGTCACCCCACAATTAACATGAATTCTCCCCCCCCCCAGATTATTTCAATTTAGTATCAGGAAAAATGCTAGAAGGATTATAATTTTTTTGAGAAGTATAGCACCCCCTATGCATCTGAAGAAGGAAATACTCAATAATATAAAATGAGACAAAGAAAGGTGTCTTGGTTGTGTTATTTTTATAATAAATGACCACAATATATAAGTGAGTATGTTTTCTCTCCTGTCTCACGGTGATGTAAACTAATATAAAATGGGTATGGTCTTATATCCCTAAAGCTCACTTTGGAAGTACAAAGGGAGACTGTTCATTTCTTTTTTAAGACTTGAAATGATCCTGGAAAGACAGATGGAACCTCTTCTAGGGAAATTTTCTTTCTACTAACACCCCTCACTCCTCTGTACTTTGTTACCAGCCTGATAGTAGTGATTGCTCTATGTTGGAATTCTAAGTTTTTTTTTTTTGTGTAGTCTTACAATAATAGCCCTACTAGCCTCAGGGCAAGAGCTTTCTACCTTCTTTATTTTTATTGCCGCAAGATTTGGTCCAGTGATGAAAAGATAGTATTTCCTTTGGGAATCTCTACTCACAGTTTAGGAGGCCAGAGAAGTAGAAATGGATACTGTATGTAGTAGTAAAGAAGATGATAAAATAAGAACCTGACATGAGCCTGAAAATCTTTTAAATACACTGGGGGGGCCTATACTCTGGCAGACTTACTGGGGAAGGGATATTTCAGGTAAGAGATAGCATCTGGGATCTCCTGGGGAGCACAGTGAGTAGAGTTGGCCAGATAATGAAGCCTCACATGGACCTGGCTCAAGGCATGTATGTATTTTTGTTTTTTTGCTTTTTGTTCCTTTTCCTGAAGAGCTATTTAAAAATTTTCAAGAAGGGGAATTGGCGTACTCAATAACTATCTTTTAGATGGATTACAAAGACATTTGGAAGATAGATTTTTTTTTTTTTAATTTTTTTTGACGTGTTTATTTATTTTTTAGGACAGAAGAGACAAACAAGTGACGGGGGGAGGGAGCAGAGAGAGAGGAGACACAGAATGGAGAAGCTCAGGCTCAGGCTCCGGGCCATCAGCCAAACCTATTGAGGCTCAGCGAATCTGAGACCCTTGAGATTGTGACCTGTGAAGAGGTGACGGACTGACGGCACCCAACACCGACTACTTCACAGGCTACACCCTGGAAAGATGGAATTTAAAAAAAACAGACCAGGACACTTGAATTAGCTCCCAGTTAGTTAACATCCAGGAGCGACTTGGCTCAGATCATGGGCTTGCCCCTACTCATGGTTTTTGTAGAGTTTCGCCCATCAGACTCTACACTAACAGAGCCTAGAGAACCTACTTTGGATTCATTCTCTCTCTCTCTCTCTCTCTCTCTCTCTTTCTGCCCTCCCCCCACTTAGCAGCTCTTCTTTCTCTAAGGAAATAAACAAACATTTAAAAATAAATAAATAAAGCAGACCAAATTGTGGGGCAGTGAGACCCAGGAGAAGAAAGAAAATGGTGAGGACCCCAAATGGGGATATAATAAGTCAAGCTTCTTAGGAGAGAAGACATAGTAAGTGTCTTAAGTTGTTCGAGGAGATAAGGTGAAAAGCTTGAAAGCTTGAGTGTTCTTATTGGAGGAGATGGTTTGAGTGGTATGGCCGAAGGATGGTGAACACTTTCTATTTTTGAGCAAATAAACTTCAGT